CCGGCTTCCCCGGGCCGCGCCGCCGTGGACATGGACAAAATGCGTCCCTTTCACCGTGCCATTCCACACTGGCGGGCCAGGGCCGCGCCCCGTGGCCCCTGGCCGGCCTCGTCTGCACAAACTAACTGGCGACAATCACCCGGGGCCTAGGGCACGAAGGCAGGTACCGTACGGCGGAGTACAGCCGGGGACAGCCCTGATCTCGACGTCTGCTAGGGGGATGGTCTCGGCCTCGGGCTTGTCGTCGAGGCTCGGCGACGACTCCAGGGCGACGCCGCCGCGCCTTTCCCCCCGCCCGCCGGACCCCGCTCGCGGACACGCAACGGGACGCGACATATCGTGATCGGGGAGGGCCGGGCGGTCGTTGACGGAGTCCCCGGTGGTCTCGGATAGAGTCCTATAGGACTCTAGTCTCGGACACCGGCTGCCACGCGCTCAGCCGTCCCCCGCGGACGACCCCGGGCTATACAGTACTTCGCGCACACCGCGGAACAGCAGCGTGGATGTCACGAGCGTATCGCGTTCTGCGTTTAGGTTTCCCTGCGGCGTCCTGGGGGTGGCACGGCTGCTTGTCCACGGGGTGGCCCAAGGCTGCACCGGGTGGGACGACCCGCGGGGTGTCGCTGCGGACCGTCCAGCCCCGCGACGGCCGCCAGGACCACCCCTCCGCGCAATGATGGTGCACTTTAGAATGTATGAGGGGGACCCGGGGGTTTGCCGGCCACGGGGTTTCCCTGGGCTGCGCTGGCCTTCCTCCGAGTGGTCGCCACCGTAATCCGGAGTGAATGTACGTACGGCGACAGTGACTCCCCTGCCCTCCTCCCGCTCCTCCTCCGCCTCCTCCCCCTTTGCGGACTCTACTTCCGCGTGTGAACCTCCTCTGTCCACCCCCGCCTTCACCTCATCCTCCGTCCGCGGCGACTTTTTAGCTGATGATATTCAATCTGTTTTTTTTTCTTGACGCTTTCTTAACTTGCCGGGCGGCTGTCCGCGCGACGTATTTAAATCAGAGCGCCGACCGCCGCGCCCGAAACCTGCTCCCGCGCTCCGGTAGTCGCGCGTGGCCCGCGGCCTCCACGGCCTTCGCTCGCCCCGACAATGCCATTACACGCGACACGAGCCGGTTTCGCGGGAATCGCGGAAAAAACGAAGGTCGCCGATGAAGCACGGGGAGAGTGGAGAGGGCCGGGGGGGAGGCGGGGGAGAAGTCTTCCGACTGCGTCCACCGAATGCGTTGTTCCGGTTGCGGTTCCGCGGAGGGCGGAGGGCGCCTAGGATGGGCGCGCGGCCCGCATCCCCGGCGAATCTCCTCGAGGACGTCCAGCTCGTGCCGAAGACGAAGCTAGCAACCTGATTCAATGACGGCGGCGCCGTTCATTTTCCAGCCCGCACCGGGGTTTTCCAGCCCCCCGGGCCCGGGGTATCTCCAGGCCCCCCCTGGGACGGCACCTGCCGCTCGCTTCCAGGACGCAGCCGCCGCCGGCCGCCCCCCTGTGCGGGGCCAGCTGCACCTGTCGCCCTTCCACGGGATCCCCCCGACTGCCCGTCCCGGCCAGCCCCTGGCCGTCCCCGGGGCCCTCCAGCACCAAGCCGATGATGGGGTCCTCCAGGTCCAGGGGCTCCCCGACGCCTCCCGGCTTTGGGTCTCCCCCGCCCGGCCGCTCCAGGCTTACGGGGCCCTCCGTTCATTGCGGCCTCTCCACGGCGTGCTCGCTCGGCCCGGGGGCGGCCCGCCTCGGGCCCCGGGGGCATCCCCGAGCCCGGGGCCGTACCGCCCCGGCCGCCGCCGCCGGGCCGCCCCCGCCCCACCCCTAATGGCACCGGCCCAATGGGCAAGTCTGGGTCACCCGACCTTTACCCCGGAGATTAAAGCCGCAAGGGTCACTTTTTCTTCTTCATGGCCCATCAATTAATTACCCCCTGGCGAATCGAGGGTCGGTACCCCGGGTGGGTAAGTGAGGGCGAGTGGCGGGCCGGGCGGGGGCAAGGCGCCGGCGGCCGTCCGTCCGTCCGTCCGTCCGTCCGTCCGTCCGGCACAGCGCCGCGCCCCCAACTCCTTCCAAAACGTCCGTGTAAAATCTGACGCGTCGCGTTTTTCAAAAATGAAATCCTCCGGTTGGCGCCAGGCCGGCGGCGCGCGCGCCACGACCCGTCCCGTGGGCCTCTTTAGGCCGCGCAGGAGGGAGTCTGTTCCGCTTTTATGTACTGATTCGGCTGATGCGGCAAACCTTCACGCAGTTTGCCATATTTTAACGGAACGCCGTAAACTAACAGTAACGCGTTGTGGATGGGACGTATGGTCGCATTAGGGTCGTGCTGCAAAGAGCCAAAGCCAAGCTGCACACCAATCGCACTGATTATTTTTTGTTCATAGGAAAACAAAAACTCTCTCTAACATTTAATGTTTTACCTCCTCCTTAAAACTGTAGCCGTTTGTTCAATTCTGTGAAACTTGAGGAAGATCGGAAAGATTTCACAGAGCGGATAGCTTTTGCACTACTCTACAATAAGCTAGTTGTTTTCTGCGTACAGGCATTTTTCTCCGATCCGCGGAGGGCCACGCCGTCGTCTTAGTGTTCGGCCACGGCCCCCTCCGGGCGCCCCCTAGGGGGTCGCGAGGCGCGGGGCGTGGCGGGGCGTGGCGGGGCGTGGCAGGGTGAGGCGGGGCGCGGGGCGCTCTTGACGCCGCGGGCCCTCACGTTTCGGGTCCACGCGAGCTCTGGGCTCCCGCGGCTGGTTCATCCCCCAGTAACCGCGCGCCGATGCTGCTCGGGCGAAGATCGTGGCTGCGATATCGTCCGCGACATGTCTTGATGAGCGCGGTAGGGCGTGGCGGGGCGTGGTGGGGTGCGGTGGGGCATGGCGGGGCGTGGCGGGGCATGGCGCGGGGTGAGGCGGAATGCGTGCTCGCCTCTTTGCCGCTGGACGAAAGTGGCGGCGAAACAGGGGGCTTCCCGGGCGGCTGCTGCTATTTCCGCTAATTCCAAAACGTCTCTATTTATACGTTCCATCGGCGTGCCTTTCGCGGCGCCCCCGGGGGCGGCTGCGTAGCCGCTGCAGCTTCACCCGCCGAGACTCGGAAACGATGTCCAAAGATACGTCCGCGCGCCCCGGACACGCTCGCGGGCGACGTAACTCCCGCAGCAGCCGCGGCAGGTGGTGGATCTTGGCCGCGATCCGGAAGCCGCAGCCGGGCGCGGGAAAAGTTCGGTCGCGGGGCGGGTGTCTTCCAAAAGTATGCGGGGTGTCCGCCCGCACCTCCGCCGCGCCTGGCGGGAGCGGCCCCTCGGCCCCATCTCGACCCGCCGCGCCCCGCCCCACCCGCCAAACCGGAGCGAAAGGGCTAGTGTGACCGCCCTCCGGTGTGAATGTGAACGTACTCGGGGGGCTTGACCTCCTCGCCGACGTCGGCGTGGGAGGTGCGGCACGCGGCGGGGAGGGGCTGCTCGCCTCCCCCGACCGGGACGGGGCAGCGACCAACGACCTCGCAGGGGGAAAGGAAATTGGCCATCCCGGGCGACTTTGTTCGACGACGGCGACTCGACTGCTCATGTCTGTGTCCAAACACCCCTCCCCCTTCTCTCTCTCTCCCTCTCCCTCTCTCGCTCCCTCCGTACAAGACAACGCCCTTATTGAAGGGCGTGTCCCGGCCGCAATGGCGGGCCAGCGATGAGACTGCCGCCCCCGCGCCGCCGCCGCGTCCACCGCCGCCGCCCCCGTGGACTTCCCGCCGGGGAGGGGTGCATTGACTCCACCCCCCTCCGCCACCCCCCGACAGGCCCCGCCTCTGACCGCACCCGTGTCCACCCACGCTGTCCCCTCCCCGCCGCCGCCGTCGACAGTCGAGTTCGTCGTATCCTCGCCGCGACCCCGGTCGGCGACCGCGGGGGCAGGCTGAGAGGACGCGGGTAGCGCACGCGTACGCGTTGGGTCACTCGCCCCACCACCGGCGCCCCCGCCGCGCCCCAACCTGGGCCAACCCCTCGGCGCGGGCGGTCGCTCCCCCCTCCCCTTCCCCCACCTCTCCCCCTCGGGCCGCCGCCGCTACCGCCCCAGGACCAAGTCGATGGGGTCCATGTGGGGAGGCACATCAAGTCAGTCGTCCTCCGATCCTCGGCCCGAGCACATACCTCGTCGTGCAGCTACTCTGCCCCGAGAGCAACCCCTAGTGTGAACTGACGTAGTCGTGACGTGTTGGTGACGTGCCCCGTGCAACTCGAGTGCGCTAGTGCCAGTGCTTCTCCACGCCTTTGGACTACCTCACCCAGCTCGCCGCCAGTGAACTGAACCGAGGACTTTTGTTCGTGTCCAGGACGCCGTCGAAGGCGCCCACGACCACCGCCGCTCTCGCCTGTCCGCTGGGTGAGTACTTTAAGACAGACAGCCCAACTGGATTATTTGCGCGCGTTGTCGCCACCAACTACGACATGATAGCGGGATTCAGTAGTAATCAACGAAAAGCCGACACACATTTAACTTATCTTGACCATTTTAAAAACTTATTGATGTTACTCATCGCTTAGGGCGGGAGTACGCAACGTAAAGAACAGCGTCGCTCACGAGTTTCAATTCAAGGGTCCTCTTTTCTAACTGTTCAAATAAGAAACCCACATACCCACATGGTGTGAGAGTTTCCGGGGGGCCGGAGGGCGCCGAACAGCAGCGGTGCGCTTGGCGTTGCCTACCCGGCCCATGAGATCGCTCTCTGGCAGGTGGCAGGTGCAACGCGAGATGACACCACCCCACCCCCGGGGGTTGGTTCTCGCCCCGAGGACTGCGGGGGTGGCGAGGCACATTATGTCACAGGTGGCTCCTGGTCGTTACGCCCTCTGTGTCGGGGGCGGAGGAGGGTGGAGTGGAGAGGGGGGGGGGAGGCTGCCAGCCAACACCGAGCACCCTCCCGCCCGCCCCCCTCCCCTGCGCACCCAGGCCGGCCGCGGCGGAGGGGAGGGGGGAGGGAGAGAGATAGCGCACAAACAGGCCGCCGGCCGGCCCCGTCTCGTCCCCGTCCCCCGTCAGAGAGAAGAGAAGTCAAGTCAGTCCGCCTCTGGCCGTCCGAGAGTAAGGAGCTCAGCTCGTTCAGAGTCCAGAGCGCGCGCGCGTGTATTTTCGTGTTGTCGAAGTCCGTGGTGGTAGTGGTGGTGGTGCGTCCGCATCGCGGAGCAGCCAGTGTGTGTTTTGTTCGCCAGCCTGCTCCATCATGTGCGTCAGCGCAGGCCCCTGCAGTGCCGGTACGCCCCCCGACAACCTGTGGAATACGACCGCCACCGTGTGTGTCCAGCACGCCGAGCGCCAGTCGCCTAAAATCAGTGTGTTTTGTTCATGTGTGCAGATTTCGCGCCGTCGTCCCCTAGCCCGCCGCACGGCTTCCCGGCTCCGGGTTCCCCGGCGTACGCGCCCTGGAGTATCTCCATGACCATGGGCGAGATGGTCACTCCACGATCCCCACTGCAGGTGAGTCCAGTCTCATGACGCCTCTGGCGTTCTCAAGTGTGTCCCTCCCGCCCAGTCCCCTGCCCCATACCATGCCAATCCTCCGTCGTATGTGATCTCATGATAGTGTTCGACGTCGACGTCAGCTCGACTTTTGTGAAGACATCTGTAAACCTGTTGATTTTATACGTAAAACTGAGCAGCAAATGAGCGGGGGGGGGGGGGGTATTTGCAGTAGGTTGCTTTCGCTTAAGCCTTGAGGGATCCTGGCTTAACCCACGGAATCCCCCCGGCCGATCGTCTCTCCCCCGTGACGCGTGGGTGAGCCCCCCTCCCCCATGACCTAGCTCAACAGGCTCACCCCTACCTCCCCCACCTCCGACTGTGTTGCTCCCGGGGCTTCGTGGGTGGCTTTTTTACGCCACCTCAAACATTGGAGAATAGACCGCTCTTGCCCTCGGGGTGGGGGCGGGGTCGAACGAACAGGGAGGAGGGGGGGGGGGCGAAGGACCCCGCATTTTGGCGGACAAAGGTGCTGGGGTGGTTGATGCCGCGGACGTTTAGGGCTGAAGCCGATGAGGCGAATTTCGCTGCCTGCGTGCGGACCCCCCGGCTACCATGAGGAGGGGGTGGGGGTTCTCCACACATGGGCTCGCCAGGTCCAGCCGGCTAAGCTGAGCCGGGCCCGAGCCCCCCAGGGCCTGGTCTTTTGTCTCTCGGTGACTCTGACTCCTCTTGTCCACGGAGGGTAGTGGTGGTTAATCCGTTTGGACGGAGGGGGGAAAGGGGGGGGGGGTAAAAAAGAGGAAGCAGTAGGTCTTGTATTGTTCATCCTGATCTCTGGAAAGAAAAAAAGTCAAATGGTTTTCGAGATACTCTGAAGGACACAGAAAATTGCCCGCTCCTTGCTTGTTGAGCTTTATTTAAACCGTCAATTTCCGGCCAATTTCCGTAAACTTTTCTGAACGTTTTCGCAGTTATAGTAGCCTTATTCGGTTCATACTGGCTGTGCGTGGCTTTGGGATTTGCCGACCGGGGGAGAGGGGGGGGGGGGGCTGTAGGGCTGGGGCTAAAACAAAAGGACATGTGTGATGTCTCGGCCGTCTGGGGGAATCGGGAGTGAGGGGGGGGGGGGGGGCAAGTGCACAGCACACGGCCCGCCTCGCACGTGTGCTCCACGTGGACGCGCGCACACACACACTCGCTCTCCTCGCCCCCCTGGAGAGCGTCGCGATATGTATTTTTATTGTCGCATGATGTTGCACTCGCCCTCCCCCTCCTCTCTCTCTCTCCGCGACCAAGCGCACCTAATAAGCCCTCCGCATGCTCTCCGGTGGTCTCGGCCTCGGCGGCGGCGGCGGCGGCGGCGCAGCCGTCGACAGGGGAGTATTTCAGATCCCCGCCTCCACCACCACCG